CTGTCGCCCTGGATAGAGTGCCATGGCACCATAGCTCACAGCAACCTCCAACTCTTTGGCTCAAGTGGTCCTCTTGCCTTAGTTTTTCTATTTTTAGTAGAGAAAGGGGTCTTGCTTTTTGTTCAGGCTGATCTCCAACCCCCGAGATCAAGCAATCCACCTGCTTTGTCCTCCCAGAGTGTTAGGATTACAGGCGTGAGCCACTACACTCGGCCAGCATTTTCCACTTAAATGTAACGAAAAGGTACATTTAAAAAGTTAAATGCCTGCAAATACTGAGATACACAGTAAAAGACAAACCAACCAATAAGAAAAACTTCATTTAAACCTTCAGTTTGAATGTCCCTGGAGATCTACCTAAGAGCAATGGAACTGATTTTCCCAGAAGGGCTCCCTTCCAAAACAAGGGATGTTTCTGAACACACCTGAATTAGGACATAGCCAACGTTACATGATGCTCTGTTCAGGGTTTCTGATTCCGGTGCGTATAGGACCTTGCCCTCTTCCGTCAGGAAGAGCTAGCATTCATTTGCATGTATGTAGGGGCATTAAAACCAACAACAATACAGAAGAGCACAATGGGCCACTACTGGACTGTCACAAGATGTGTCATCATTGTCAATAAGAGCTGGCAGTCACCACCCACCGGTTGGAATTTTGAAGGAACTATTTATTAACAAAACCTCATAATACAACAAAAAATTCATGTTACTTAGGGAAAATTGTCTCTAAATATTCACAGCATTTTTCCGAATATAGTGATACATTTTGTGTAACGTGTCATATTACAATAGCTTTAGAAATAGTGCCATCTCATAAGTTAAAACAAATTTTCAATACAAATTCAAAGTTTATTTTAGGAACTGCTTTTCATCTGCAGCATAGCTAATAGTTCTGAAACCCAGCTTTGGAGAGAGGTTCTAGGAAGCGCTCATTTCCATCTCTGCCTAAGTTCCCTATAACAAAGGGCGACTTGCATGACTGTAGGACCACACGGAAGGTACAGAAAAGCAAGGAGTAAATGAAGGGGTGAGTGGGTAGACTTTTAACCTTTGGCCAGTTACATGAGAGATTCCAGGTGTGAATGAATAAAATGCATAACGAGTGATTCCAATTTAAGCTAATAACTATGCTTCCATTCTAGTCTACTGGTCTTTCATGCTAAAGATCTAGACGGATTACAGAGAAAGAAACCTGTACATATTGTGTAAAGGCAAAGACATTTCCAAAATATTAAGGTAAAAATTAATTTTTAGTCCTAGAAATTCTATAGTCCTCCTCTTTCATGACGACAAAATGGCTAGAGGTCACTTCATATAATTAAGACACAGAAGTGCGGGCAATGGAGGTATTTCTGTTCCTGCTGTAATTTCTTTCTGGACACCAAGCTCCTTTTCTTCACTTAAAAGTAAATTAACAGCATAGCTTCCACCACTCCAAGCTAAAAATGGCAACAGTGAAACCCATTTGCTATTTTAGACATGACTAATAGGATGCATATTTCATAATAATAAGATACAAATAATTTAAAATTCACAAGTAATTAAAAACACAACGTATCCTAGAATGATAACTAAGGTCACTTTTTAAATTCCTTATTTATCAGACTACATGTATATGAAAGAAATAAAATCTTTTCATGTTCTGTTAGGAGGGAAGAAGGTAGAATGAAATTTGACAGAGTACAAAATATACTGGAAGTGAAATCTTCAAAGAAAAAAGTTGCATTAGGAATTAGTCTTTCTAAAGGTAATTCTCTACTCACATTTTTTCTGCACACAAATAAATGCCAGAAAATGGAAATAGAATATAAGTACAGAGAATTAATTTAAATTTTCTTTAAAACATTTTGAAGTTCCACAGCATAACAGGAAATATATTTATCATATTCTGAAATGTATCAGGCAAGTAGAGTTGATTCTTTTGTCTGTACTAATAAAGGTTTGCTTGCTTTTGAACTAAGTTGGCCTTCTCCTATATATGGAAGACTAGAAACTCTTCAACAGAGTACAAATTATATGTCTCCACTGGGCTGGAAATGTCTACCCTTGATATTTCTGGTTTTGTTGCCCATTTTGGGGGTAGAAGGGAGGATGCAGGCTGGGCAGAGCGGTGCAGTTTCCTCTCAGCCCCCAAATCAGAAACAGGCCAGCACAGAGGCGAATGCAACCACAGGGCTGAGTCGAGGGCAAGTGTAGGGTACAATCCTGTCTTTACTGAAAATTTTGATATTTTGTTCATCACAAATTCCTTTTTTACATTAATTTTAATTTTAAAAAATATAGCATCATTGAGATTTTTGGCACCCAGTTACATTTTGTGCCTGAGGGTGATTTGCTCACCCTCACCCCATACCTGGCGATACTCAACCAGCCCCCAGGCTGTGGCTCCAGTTGATTTGTGGAGCCACAGCAGAACTCAAACTCTCCCTTTTACCCTTCTCAGTTCAAATGGGTCAGAAAAGGGTCTTACAAGAACTACGTTCTCCCTGCTTGTAGAAATGAAGATGAAGGGTAAAGAAAAGTGTACTTTTTGCCCAACAGGGAATCACTGGGCAGGTTAGGAAACCTGCCTCAGCAGTTGTCACTGAGAGCACTCACTCTGGGAGCATTAATGGTCCTTTGTTCCAGCGCTTATTTGTTTCTGGATAGGAACCATAATGAGAAAAGAATTAATGCCCAGAGGGTGGACTTAGCAAGAGAAACATGGGTGACAATAATACATTAACTCAAAAAGTATGCACAATCCCTGGCAAGAATGATAAGGTAAATACAAATGAGAGACTTGATATACACACAGTATATATGCGACAGAAAGCTCTTTTAAATAATGAAATGGGCGGGATTACACGTGGCACAGCTAAACTAATACCAACAGTACCTTTTCATTCTTGAAGAGAACAAAATACTACTTTCAGTCTATTGCTAAACTTTTCACAGGAGGGGCTGGTATGTGTCCTCTTGTATTTTCCAAAAACATTAATTACAGTCCTCAGGCAGGGGTAGCCGCTGCCTGCCAGGAAAAGTCTTGGGCCCTGTTTTCTCTCCTGAGTAGAGTGGAGAAAGGGAAGCTTTTGAAAAGGTTATCTTGCTCCATGCCCTACTAGCCCTGTTAAGGGAGAGGAAGTCTTTCGGAGAGGAAGTCTTTCAGAGAGGATTGGAGATACTGGGGAAAGCTTCCCTTCTGGCAATTGCTACAGCTAGAAACAAGAAACCCCTAGGTGTCATGCTGTTTTCTCTGCAGGGTATGATAAGACTAGATGTAAGGTTATTACACTAGTAACGTCTCATTTAGCAAGTGGTGCCATCATAGGATTGTTTGGAAAGGTGAAATACAGGGGTTTCAGTTCTTTGCCCTACCGTGGAAGGATCTTTTGGTCACTGCAATACTTTTTGGAAAATAGAAGCTAAACTTACAGGCCATAAAAGGTCTCAAAAGGAAAGACAGGAAAGTTAGGGACATCACTCTGGTTAAAAAACCCTCAAAATGATCTAGTGAATGCTGACATTAGATGAGTGTGGGTCTTTAGGTATTAACATAAGTATATATGTACTTCATGCATTTCTATGGAGATTTAGTATAAAAAATACCTAAATATATATTTAATTCCATAGGATCCCGAAGCACTTTGGGGATTTAAACAGATAAGCCAACCTCAAAGGGACTGATTCTTGCAACTAAAACACAGACACCTCTGGGGTGAAATGTGGCAACAGTTTGACAGGCATAGCAGTAGCTTAGGCCAGAAAGGATTTATCCAATTAAAATTATGGGATGAATTTTGGCTGGCAGAATGTAATTACCAGCCTTGGATTGGGTCCAGGATCCTGAGGTTAACACCCCTCCTCTTGCCAACCACCCTCCTACCTGCCAACACTCTGAGATGGAGAAGGCTGGATCTGACATAATCGCACATAATACTGTTGTGACATCTAAGTACAATGATGATGATGTGAGAAGCATCATGAACCTGATTTTTTTTAACACTCATTATGTTACTTATTTTTATGCCACATTAGGCTAGAAACCAAATGTCCACATAAATGTTAATTTCCTCAAATCTGTGTTTAAAAATTATAATTAGAAAATAAAAAATAGATTTAAAAATTAATTTATGCCGTCAAAGTAGTTATTTAGTGATTATTTCACTACAGGAACAAAATTGGATCAAAATGGTGACATTTAATCCTTGCTACATTAAAAAAAAAACAACAAAAAAAAAACAGGTCTTGATTTTTTGGAAGAGAAATGTATTCTCAAGGTTGAATGGCCTAGAAAAAAGGAAATGAGTAAGCCCGGTTCACATTCGTTCTAAGTTTAACTAAATGGGTATGTTCAGGCACTGCTTCTGTCCTGGGGTGAGTCCAGTTCATAGTCACAGGCACTCGGCGGGCAGTAATTTCTCAGGAGGGAATTTACTAGGAGTTGGGGGGGAGGTGTCCCTCCAAAAGAAACAGGGAAGAGCCCCCTGCTGGTGCGTGATCAGTGAGCAAGGACCTCATTATTAGATTCCCATGCCCTTTTGAAAAGTCATTCATTTACAAGAGAGGATTGTGGAGG